TCCGATGTTTAAGGTATTCGATCGATTCCACAGTCGAGGAAAAATTTTTCCCTTGATTAAAACCACCGTAGGTTTAAAGATCGAAGTCTCCGCTTTAAAACGACGTACGAAAAGTTATCGCAAGATTTTTTTTCAGAAAGTTACAGCACCCTGAATAAGGCACTAGATCGTAACACAAATCTTTCCTCTCAGATGATCTCCCGCTGCATAATGTCAATAGCAATCAACAATCCGGCAATGAACTGTTTCAAAATGTCTCGCGAAAGTGTCCAGAATGAACTCGAAAAAGCGCGAGCATGTTCATCGGACCGCATTAGGGCGATTCTCCTCGAGAGAACTATCGGTTGCTGTCCGGCAACTTCTGGAATCGGAACTTTTCGTCCGATAGTTTCGGGAACTGGTTTTTCGCTCGAGTGTCATCGAAATCGGTGGACGTCGCGTGTTGGGCCTTGCAAGCGCGATCGATTCCGTCGTCGGCGCGTTGCCGGCAGCGGTAGACAGACAGTGGGCCCGTTAATGAGTCGCGAAATCTTTCGCAAAGCTCGCATTTTCGTTCGACCGACTCGCGAGCGTGTTCTGGAACTCGCTCGTTATCGCGGAACGATTTCGCACAAAGAAGTCGGGAGAGGAGCCACTTTCTTTCCCCCCTTTCCACTCGATGCGTCGTATCGTTCGCACTTCTATAGGGCCATGAAAGTTTATATTCCTCCTTCGGCTTGACAATAAAATTCGCCGTTCCCGCCGGAACATCGTGTTCGAGCGACGAGACACGAATAGGAACATTGACCGACCCATCCTCCTCAGACTATCTCGTTCGGCCGTTGTGCGCGAATCCACCCGCTCGCGCGAGCTTCGTAAATTTTTAACACGCGACGAAACGTTTAGGCGCGCAACCTGCGCTCCTGCAGCGAAAACAGATTTTACAGGGCGTCGTCGAAAGACAAGCGAAATGTAAGGAAACGTCGAGAACGCGTTCCCTCGAATTGGATTTCCATGTTACGTATCGTGTTCGCGCATTTTGTCCCGCGTTTTCCCCTCGGCATAACGTTGCTAATTTTCTGCCGGAATTAAGGGAAACGTGTTCGCGACGCTACGAATCAGAAGAGCACGCGGGCCGTGAAGATATATTGCAATTTTCGCGGCGATACGTCGCCGCGAATGTTTTCGTTATTTCTAATAGCGTGAAAAATCGGGTGCAGCTCTTTCGAATCTATAGTTACACTAAATATATTGTTTATTGAATATATTTGCATTAAACTTTTTCTTACTTCTCTTCTTGCTTTGTATTATGTATATATGTAAATAAGAAAAGGTTTAATGTAAAATTAATGTAAAGTTGCAGTAAATTGAACGATTTTCTTAATGTGAGACTGATGAGCCCGATATTCAAATTAGCATAACTTTGTGGGAAAAAATCGTACAACGATTTGTTTCAGCTCATTCTAAAGCGCGAATCTTCTACTTTCAGCTCGGTGTATTCGTTTTTCATAAAAAAATTTATCAGTCGCTGGTATTAACATAAAGTCGCAGTAAATGGAACGATTTTCTGAATGTGAGACTGATGAGTCCGGTATTCAAACTAGCATAACTTTGTGGGGAAAAATCGTACGACCATTTTCTTTCGCCAGTTTTAAAGCGCGAATCTTCTACTTTCAGGTCGGTCTATTCGTTTTTCAAAACAAAATTTTGTCGGTCGCTGAAATTAATATGAAGGCGCAGTAAATGGAACGATTTTCTCAACGTGAGACTGATGAGCCCGATATTCAAATTAGCATAACTTTGTGGTAAAAAATCGTACAACGATTTGTTTCAGCTCATTCTAAAGCGCGAATCTTCTACTTTCAGCTCGGTGTATTCGTTTTTCATAAAAAAATTTATCAGTCGCTGGTATTAACATAAAGTCGCAGTAAATGGAACGATTTTCTGAATGTGAGACTGATGAGTCCGGTATTCAAACTAGCATAACTTTGTGGGGAAAAATCGTACGACCATTTTCTTTCGCCAGTTTTAAAGCGCGAATCTTCTACTTTCAGGTCGGTCTATTCGTTTTTCAAAACAAAATTTTGTCGGTCGCTGAAATTAATATGAAGGCGCAGTAAATGGAACGATTTTCTCAACGTGAGACTGATGAGCCCGATATTCAAATTAGCATAACTTTGTGGTAAAAAAATCGTACAACGATTTGTTTCAGCTCATTCTAAAGCGCGAATCTTCTACTTTCAGCTCGGTGTATTCGTTTTTCATAAAAAAATTTATCAGTCGCTGGTATTAACATAAAGTCGCAGTAAATGGAACGATTTTCTGAATGTGAGACTGATGAGTCCGGTATTCAAACTAGCATAACTTTGTGGGGAAAAATCGTACGACCATTTTCTTTCGCCAGTTTTAAAGCGCGAATCTTCTACTTTCAGGTCGGTCTATTCGTTTTTCAAAACAAAATTTTGTCGGTCGCTGAAATTAATATGAAGGCGCAGTAAATGGAACGATTTTCTCAACGTGAGACTGATGAGCCCGATATTCAAATTAGCATAACTTTGTGGTAAAAAATCGTACAACGATTTGTTTCAGCTCATTCTAAAGCGCGAATCTTCTACTTTCAGCTCGGTGTATTCGTTTTTCATAAAAAAATTTATCAGTCGCTGGTATTAACATAAAGTCGCAGTAAATGGAACGATTTTCTGAATGTGAGACTGATGAGTCCGGTATTCAAACTAGCATAACTTTGTGGGGAAAAATCGTACGACCATTTTCTTTCGCCAGTTTTAAAGCGCGAATCTTCTACTTTCAGGTCGGTCTATTCGTTTTTCAAAACAAAATTTTGTCGGTCGCTGAAATTAATATGAAGGCGCAGTAAATGGAACGATTTTCTCAATGTGAGACTGACGAGCCTGATATTCAAACTAGCATAACTTTGTGGGAAAAAATTGTACGACCATTTTATTTAGCTCGTTTTACAGCGCAAACCTCGATGCAAATCCCCAATTTTCCCTGCAATACGCAGCTCGAATAAAAATCGGAATCGGTATAAAAACCGTATCGAACGAGGTTTGCGCGACGAATCCTTGATTCGGTTTAGAGCGATCTATGGAAATGTTTAACGATCGAACAGCTTCGCTGGCAAGCTCGTTTCTCATCGATCGCTGAACGCCGAGCGCCCCGATCCGGTGCAATTTTCTATCCCATCGATTTCGCCGTCCCGTTTCTAGTTATTGCGGAACAATAGCCGGCGGGACGGTAAAAGACGCGGCTCGCTCGACGCGTGAAGACGCGGAAAAGAATCGCGAGACGTTCGCACGGGGGTTTGTCTAGCCCGTGACACGGGTTTCCCCGTGATCCGCGCGGATTTCGATGAAATTTCTTGAAACTGGCGCGATCGTGCGTGGCAAAGCAATTTTGCAAATTGTTCTCCGATCGGAGCCGTCGATCGGCAGGCCGGTCACGTGCCCGACGATCGCGGCGGGGAAACGAACGAGGCGACGTTTCCGACGAAACCAATCGAGAATCCGCGTGTCTGACTTCGAACGAGCCGTTTAATTCCATCGCGAGTTGCGCGTTGCGTGACTTTTTTTCGGATAAAACACCGCGAGTTTCGACGCCGTTCCCGATTTCGCGAAGAGAATATTTCGGGTCCTCGGCGCGGAACACTTCACTTCCGACTTCTAGGATCTTTTCTAGCGTCTCCAGTTAAGATTTCTATGCTCTCAGCGTGTACACAAGATTAAACCCTCGCTGTAGACTCGGATAAAAAAGGTCGAAGGAACGTGATTCTTTTATTTTTTTAAGAAAACGTAGCTATTGCTGGTATTGTAACTATTATAACGTCGCGGACAAAAATCGGACGAGACCATATTGGGGCTCATTTTAAAGCCTGAAGCTTCTACTTTGACACTCCTTAACTCGATTATTTAAAATATTGTTTTGTTTTGAGCCTGTAATCGAGTACGAAGCATCGCCGTATCGGCGATATTCGAAATGACGTAACTTTGTAAAAAATAATCGTACGAGTATGAAACTTAGCTCATTTCATAGCTTGGAGCTTCTAGTTTCGCGGACCTGAGCTCGATTATTTAAAAGATCTCTCTCTTTCCTGCGATAAGCGGGGAAATCTGACCATGTAACTCCCTCGTGACAGCAACGAAGTATCGTCATATCGTCGATATTCCAACTGTTGCAACTTCGCGAAAAGGAATCGTAAAGCAATGAAGCTAAGCTTATTTCAAAGTTAGAAGCTTCTACTTTCGATTCTCTAAGTTTGGTCACTCAAAGCAATTTCTTACTTCTCGCGGCAAGTGAGAAAGTTTGACCATGCAACTCGTCTGTGGCGAACCTTGAATTATTGCAACGACAGCATACGCTTCAAAGTGGAGCAAAACGGCAAGAAAAAATGTCACGTCAATTTTTAATAGGTCGTTTTAAAGAGAAAGCTTCCGTCTCGGAATCCATGCTAGTATCAATCAAGAAAAAAATTATTCACAGTCCGTGGACTCGATTAAATTAACGAAACACTCGAAAGAGACTACCTCCAGTTTCTCGCTTGCCACACGATCAACAAATTTTGTTCAGCAAAATGCACTCATGAGCGTTAAAGTAGACGATTTCCGCTTAAAAATGAGCTAAGGTGGATTGTCGTACGATTTTTTCTCGCGAAGTTACAAAAGCTTGAAAATGCAATGCTTGACGCAGGGCTGCGTCGGTGGTCGTTTAAATTGATTGCGACGATAAACAATTCCTTTGTTATTGCCGCGACGCGTTTTCTAATTGCAACAACGATCTCACGACGGAATGCAGCGAGATGGGAGGGTTTCGCGGTCGCGAAGACCGCCTTGGCATTTTTCTCGGAGCGAAATCGCGTGGCCGAATTTCTGTCGGCGCGGTGGGTCGATTCTCGGTTCATCGATGCTTTTTGTAATAGATACCGTCGCGAAGAGGAAACGCCGATTTAGCAAGCTATCAAAGCTACACGCGATACGTTACGGCACCCTGATTTCATCTGTTTTCAGTGCGATCCCGGCGTGGCGGTTGATAGATTCTTCCACGCTCTCTACTCGGCGAAGAAGAACGATCTGATACCATTGCTGCTGGGCACCGCCTGCTCCGAGGTCTCCGAGACCTTGGCGAAGATCGTGCCCTATTGGAACGTGATCCAAATCTCATTTGGATCTACCGCACCTGCTCTCTCGGACACCACGGAGTTCCCGTTGTTCCTGCGAACCGTCGCACCCGATTCCAGTCACAACTCGGCCAGGATCGCTTTCATCAAGCATTTCGGATGGGACACTGTCACCGCCCTGTCGCAGACAGGCGACATGTACTCGCTGGTGAGCATCAGACCCGACCGCGATACGACGCGACAGCGTTCCTCGACCCTTTTCCTCTCGTCAAACGTCCTGTTTTAATCGCACAGCGACGAGAACGTTCGCGATGCTGCATTTTTAAGAAAATTATCGCGCGCAGTCACGGTATATTAACTCGTGCGCGACCGTTTCGCAGCAGTACCATTGGCGTTTTCTGCGCCCAAAAATTCGTAGATGCTATTCGAACATCGGGGAAGACGCACGAGAAGGTCCCATGGCGATTGGTTTTGCGGAATCGGAGTTAAAAAATTCCAAAGTCAACCTAGTCCGTCGTTTTGAGAGAAACTCGCTGTTCACTTTGCCGTGACTATTCTCGCGAGAATTATGATTGCACGCGAAGCGTAATGAATTTCTGTGTGAAAAAATTCGTAGATATTGTTGAAAGATGAGCGAAAGTATTAACTCAGTTCCGAGAGTGAAATATTCTGTAGTTTTGCAGTAAAAAAATCCTGAAGTCAGTCTAAAATGCGCCGCGATGAGAAGGGCAGGCAGAAAATTCGCGATGAAATTTTCATTCGCAAAGCTCGCGTAGGATTAATTACCGTCCGACGGATCAATTAAGACGCGAGCGGGCCGAACTTCTGTTTCAGGCTGTGAACGATCTGGTCACGGAACTGGAGCAGGCGAACATCACGTGCACAGCGACGATCACGTTCGCGGAGAACGATTATAAGGAACAGCTGCGGACTTTAAAAGTAAGACACGGCAAAGCTCCATTCAATTTTTCCGCCGAGTCCGAGCCGGAACGTTTCGGTCGCGCGGTTTCTTCGTTTCTTTCTCGCGAACGGCGCGAAGAATTCCACTTGCTGAAACCGTATCGCGAAAAAAAGAACGGTTTCTATGTGTCGCGCGCGCGGCAAAAGAATTCCAGCGCGGAATCCGGGCGCCGACGATTAACAAGCGGCGCTCGCATTCCGAGCGACGACACCGCGAGAATTTCCGCTGCAACCCTTTCACTATGCTCGTCTAATTGCTGCGTTCATTTCAGCTGTAACGGCCGCGTTCTAAATAAAAAGATAACTGCGAGGCTCATCGATACAGCGCCCGCCGGCGGAAGTGCTTCTACTCGCCGGTGAAATTTATTCAATTCGATCCCAACTTTTCGAGGATGCTTTTCGGACGACGTTCGTCGAAGGACCGAAAATGATATCGGACGCATTTCATTTTGCCGCGAGCACATTTTTTCTGCGATATTGTCGAGAACAACTTTTCATATGTTATACAATTCTTCGCAGTATATGTATATCGTGAAAGAGTATTTCTGATCTAATTTAGAAAATGTTATTAGGATTAATATAAACGTACAATAATCTGATATTCAAATTGGTATAACTTTGCCGGAAAAAATCGTACGACGATATTTTTTAGCTTATTTTGAAGCGCGAATCTTCTACTTTCAGCTCAGTGTATTCATTTTTCCAAAAAAATTGCTGGTCGTTACAATTAATATAAAGTTTCAGTAAGTGGAATCATTTTTCGACTGTCAGTCAGATGAATCGTCTGATATTGAAATTGGTATAACTCCGTCGAAAAAAATCGCATAACAATATTCTTTAGCTCGCTTTAAAGCACGAATCTTCTACTTTCAGCTCTATGTATTCATCTTTCCAAAAAAAATTGTTGGTCGTTACAATTAATGTCAAACAACAATAAGTGGAAACATTTTTCGACTCCCATGAGAGATGAATCATCTGATATTGAAATTAGTATAATTCTGTCAAAAAAAATCGTACGACCATTTTGCTTAGCTCGTTTTGAAGCGCGAATCTTCTACTTCTAGCTCGATATATTCATTTCTGGAAAGAAAATTTGTGTACGTTTCAATTAACATATAACAAATACCTCTTTTCTCTTGTCGAAAACGAACGACAAGTGCCAAGCAACACAATTGCATACAAAGAAATCGTGGAGCAACGAGTTGAAGCGGAAAATTAAATTCCTGTCGATAACAGCGTAATTAAAGCCATAGATCTACACGGTAGCTCCGTGGATCGCTGTTCGGTTCGATCCAAACAAGTATAGCGAACGGTGGAAAGACGAGAAAGATTCCGGGAAAAGTAGAAGCCGTTGCATTAGGGACCATCAGGTCGTGTCGTGCTTGGAGAATCGAGTTAGTCCATGGCTGCCTTCGTAGGTCTTTCACTGAAGGTTCATAACTAATTACACGTCGGCGCTAATGCGATAAACTTGTACGAAAGACGCGACGGTCGCGCGACTCACGGAAAAACGGGGATGCAGATCGTCTCCGTTAATAAAGATCGTTTTATTCGATTGCAGGAATTGGACACTCGAATCATCATCGGGAGTTTTTCGCCGCGGCTGGCGCCCCAAGTTTTCTGCGAGGTAAGCCACCAGAAAACAAAACTTTCGAAATCGCTCAATTTTCAAGAAACAAAGCATAGTTCGTAGAACATCGCAAAGTCTGCGAAAGCCGGGAGAATTCTGCGAAGTTCTGGGCTAATTATATGTAGTCTATAAAATGTTCCAAAAGATCTGCAAGATGCAAGAAAGTTAATCAAATATTAAGCACGCTGGTCGTTTAATTCTTGCTCATAAAAACGACGAACAGACGAGTCTTGTTCTGACGAACATCACAGACTATCAAATTCCTGAGGTCATTTGAAGCAACTTTTTCCTTAGCGAAAATGCAATCCGCCGCTTCGTTTACGAGTTATTCGCGAAAAACACTGAGCAATCGGAGAGCGAGCGCGGCAGGCGCTCCGCCCTCGCGGCCAATACCGCGTCGCGCCGGCCGTTTGATGCAGCGGCAGTGGTCGCGAGGGCGGGATCGCGATCTCTAATTGGTCAGTGTTTTTCGTGAATAACTCGTAAACGAAGCAGCGGATTGCATTTTCACAAAGGAAAGATTTACTTCAAATTACTCAAGGAATCTTCCCTTCCCAAGTATTATTATTGTGCCCATAAAATCGTCTAAAATCTACCAAATGCAAAAAGCTTGATAGATCATTGCGTGTGACAGTCCCCTCAACGTTCCTTATAAAAAATATCCAAGAAATGAGCAACGTTGTCGCGAATATCTTCGCTTATATATATACGCGCGCGAAGCTGTCGCCGGAAGACGCCGCCGGAGAACAGAAAGAATCGTCCCGTTGGCAAATAAATCGGCGGGAAAATTGTCCGTCACGGAGCGGGGGGAAATTTTGCGAGGTACGTGTAAATTACGAATTTTTACAGTCGCTCGTAAAACAGCGCCGAGGACAAACGCGGGAGTCCCCGTCGTTTGCTGCGCGGCGGCATTAAACGCCGCCGATAAAAGTTATTATTTTTCCATTCCACGGACGGACAACGATCGCCGAACGGTCCTCGCACGTGTTTTTCGGCAGCTCGGGGGATATCTCTCGACGCGATCGATCGGCTGTAACGCAGCGACGCGAGCCGCACACGTTTCGCATCCCCGTTTCGATTTCCCGGTGAAAACCGAACGGAACGCAAACACATGGGCTGCGCGGCTTGTGTCCCAGCTAAGCGAATAATGAACATTGTGTCGAGAAGTAGGACGCCGATTCCTCCGGCCTCTTTCTCCTGCTCCGGCAGCCGGCGGCCCTTGTCTTTTATCATCGCTCCCCGGCTCGCTTTGCATTTCGAGACCGATACGATGCTTTCGGAGGGCCACTCGGTCGACCAGGCTATCGGAAAAATTTTTCACCGTCCACTCACTCGCCCGGGCCGCATACTAATAACCGTGTAAATTAGGTCGCGCACAATTAAATCATCGAAATAACTCGGCGAAGACGCCTTCGACGTTTCCATCGCGGTTTTAAACGAATTTACGGACTGATTCGGTTACCGTCGCACGGCGTTGCCACGGTAAAAACGGGCCGGCTATTATCGTGCGAGAAGAAAAATTCGTCCGAGCACTTGAAACCGAGACCCAGATTGTCGCTGCGATAGAGTATTTATTATTAGGCGAGTTTGTACCGAGGTTCGAGGTTTTGGAAACTCGTTATCGTTATGGAAAGACGTGGGGATACGTCTTTGCTAAATTCTGTGGCAAAATTCAATGATCTTTTCTGTAGATGTCAATGTTTATTTTTTAAGAGAGGTTGGGAAAGATTGGCGAGACAATTAATTCAATTATACTAACGAAGAATGGTGTATTATTAATTGGACGATATGACAATATTTTGGAATTGACACACATTTTGTTGTTCTAATATCGGTGTCTCAGAAATTAGAGTTACAGGAAGATTAATTGGAACAGCTGCTCCATTGTGTGAACGAAGAATGATGCATAATTAATTGGGCAATGTATTTAGCAATATTTTGTAACTGACACGCATCTTGCTACCCTAACATCAATGTCTCAAAAATTAGAGTCACGCTAAGATTAATTAAAACAGCTGTTCAATTATGTGAACGAAGAACAATGCATAATTAATTGGGCAATTTAACAATATTTTATAATTGACACGCATCTTGCTACCCTAACATCAATGTCTCAAAAATTAGAATTTCAAGAAGATTAATAAAACAGCTGCTCAATTATGTGAACCAAGTAGCATAATTGCAGCATAATTAATTGGACAATTTACTAATATTTTGTATAATTGGCATCTCGCTACCCTAACGTCAATATCACAAAAATTAGAGTTCCAAGAAGATTAATAAAACTGCAGCTCAATTATGTGAACGAAGTAGCATAATTGAAGCACAATTAATTGGACAATTTAGTGATATTTTGTAATTGACATCTCGCTACCCTAACGTCAATATCACAAAAATTAGAGTTCCAAGAAGATTAATAAAACTGCAGCTCAATTATGTGAACGATGTAGCATAATTGAAGCATAATTAATTGAACAATTTACAAATATTTTGTAATTGACATCTCGCTACCCTAACATCAATATCACAAAAATTAGAGTTCCAAGAAGATTAATAAAACTGCAGCTCAATTATGTGAACGATGTAGCATAATTGAAGCATAATTAATTGAACGACTTACAAATATTTTGTAATTGACATCTCGCTACCCTTAACATCAATATCACAAAAACTGAAGTCGCGCTAAGCCTAATAAAACAGCTGCTCAATTACACAAACGTAGAACACGCGACTCGCCGGACAATGGGACAATATTTTCGAATCGACGCGCATCGATATCGATGAGGATTTTATCGGATCGCTGGCACCCTTAGCTGACAGAGCGCAGAAACTTTCGACAGCCCTGCTCGCCGAGAGCAACGGGCGCAGCTAATTTGTTTCGCGCTGTCGTACGAACTCGTTGTTCGGCCATCGAAAATTAGCCGGCGAATGGAAAAGTTGTTCCGTGACGTTTCGAAACTCCGTGATTCGTCGGAATTGCATAAACGCGCGGAACGGTTTTCGCGACTCGCGTTTCTAATTTACAATCGCGGCGTCGCTGCCGCGAGCGCATAAATCGTCGTTCGTTGTCCCGCAAAAAAAACACGTCGAAGTTGCGTCGATGCCGTAACGCACGCGTAAAAATGCCGAATCGCTGTTTACGGGGCGAACCGATGCCGCATTGTGGCGTCATGAGCCGTGACCATAATCGTTTCCCCGTGTTGCAATGACGCCGAGAAGGTCGTAGTTTCTGCTCCCGCGGTCCCTACTTTCTCATCGTTTGCGTGGGTTAGAATGATAGCGGCGCGAAGTCGCGTTTTTCTTATCGTGAGATACGAGCTAAGCTATTGTTCGCTGACGCGTGCATTGTTTATTGACCAAATGTATTGTTGAGACGAGTTGGAGTTTTATTGATTGTTGAGACGATTTGGAGGCTCATTGATTGCTACGACAATGTAGAGTTTCATTTATTGTTCAGACAATTTAGAGTTTTATTTATCGTGTTAAGACAATTTCAAGTTAATTTATATTAATCAAAGGAGGTATTTAAAATAGCTTTGACACAACCTTGATTATTTTTAGGGTTTCATTTATCGTTAAGACAATTTCAAGTTAATTTATAGTAATTAAAAGAGGTATATTTAAAATAATATTGACATAAAACCTTGACAATGTAGAGTTTCATCTATTGTTAAGACGATTTAGAGTTTTATTTATCGTGTTAAGACAATTTCAAGTTAATTTATATTAATCAAAGGAGGTATTTAAAATAGCTTTGACACAACCTTGATTATTTTTAGGGTTTCATTTATCGTTAAGACAATTTCAAGTTAATTTATAGTAATTAAAAGAGGTATATTTAAAATAATATTGACATAAAACCTTGACAATGTAGAGTTTCATCTATTGTTAAGACGATTTAGAGTTTTATTTATCGTGTTAAGACAATTTCAAGTTAATTTATATTAATCAAAGGAGGTATTTAAAATAGCTTTGACACAACCTTGATTATTTTTAGGGTTTCATTTATCGTTAAGACAATTTCAAGTTAATTTATAGTAATTAAAAGAGGTATATTTAAAATAATATTGACATAAAACCTTGACAATGTAGAGTTTCATCTATTGTTAAGACGATTTAGACTTTTATTTATTGTTAAGACAATTGCAAATTAATGTATAGTAACTCCTTAATTTATTTCACCTGTCTTTATAACATTCTGGCATGATTAAGACAAGAATTTATTGTTCACACAATTTCGAGTTAATTTATAGTAACTCCATAATTATTTCACCCGTCTTTCTAACAGTTTGGCTTGTATAATAACTACATTTGAAGACGTAAATCAACAATTTTTGAAACGTCATTTACCCCACAATGATTCTAACGCGCTCATTCTTATCTCAAAATAAGTTTCCAATTTTTGCATCGTCGTTCGCAATCGATACATCAAATTTAATAGATTCTTCGCGTACAAGTATCAATGAAAAAAAGAAATTTACAAGCAGTATACTCACATTTTCCACCTCCGAATTTATAAACCACACCGTATGAACCACGACGATGTTTCCTAGTCTGCGATTGATCCCAAACAGTCGCGAGTTTTCGAATGTAACGCTACACAAATGTAAACAATGGTGTCCTGTTTCGACCCGCGTTTTCGATCATCGCACGAAATTCCCCTATAAAACGACCGTCGCCCACCGATGGGCCACTCGACGCGTAAAAAATGGCGGTCCATTGTCAAGGTATAAGCCCCTTTCGGGCCCCCAAGCTGTCCATTTCACTATTTCTCCAGGCGCTGGCCAGTACAGCGAGAAAAATAAATCGTATCTCCGGCTTTCATTTGTCTCCATTCCTTTGTTTCCGTCTCTTTTTCTCGTCGGGAACGCTGGACGCCTCGTTAGCGGCTCATTGGGAGAGAAAATGGCGGATCCGCGCGGCCGTGCGGGGTTAAACGAAAGACAATTTCTCGTCGCGGCGGCCCGCCGCATTGTCGCCCGGCCGGAAATAATTAG